TTTTTTTTTCGTGGGGGGAGGGGGGAGAGAGACCGACTCACCGTATAATAACAATTATAACTAATTCATGAATTGAACTTTTTTCTTTTTTTTTTCTTTTTTTGGTACCTACATTATTAATTGACTCGAATTTTATTTTAAAAAAATTATAATTATTATTATTATTCGTTTGTTATTTTTATTGCGTTCGAGAAGCGTTCGACCGGATTTCCCAACACAAACAAACAAAACCCGACTCGAAAATCAAAGAGAAAAAGGCGTGCGTGAAACGGATGTAATAATAATAATAATGATAATAATAATAAAATCATCCGGCGAACGAACGTTACTACGAAAAAAAAAAAAACAAAACAACAAACAACAATAACAACAATAATAATAATAATAATAATAAAAAGTCCGTTAAACCGTCACGCCGATTTCGCCCAGTATATCCGATAACCTTTGCAAATACCTGCTCATGTTTCCATACGCGTTCGGATGAGTCCTGTTGATCAATTGCAACGCGTTTATGTATTCCATGTCCGTGAATTGTGGGCCCTTTTCCAAAACGGTCGTGAGTATTTCGTCGGGAGTCTTGTAAAACAATTCGAAAAATTGTTTCGCGTGATCCAAAGCGACTTCTCGCGACGACGTGATGTTCGTTAGAGTTTGCTGGAGAGTCAACATGTTCCGACACATTCTCTGAATACCATTTTGTTCGATCTTATCCATGTACTGGCAAGAACTTATTAATATTTTGGCAATCAAATCTCCCAATCCTTCGAATATGTACTGTTGTTTCCAAAGAGAGAGAGAGAGAGAGAGAGAGAGACAGAGAGAGAGAGAGAACAAACATTATCAATCATTACTCAGAGATAACAAAAAAATTCCACGACTTACTTTTGTTTTCCGCGGTTGAAGACTGCAAACCATGGCCTCGTCGACGTTTATCAACACTTTGGAAAGTTCTTGAACTTTCGGATCGGGTTCCTCGTACATGAAATCGAATTTTTTCGACGAACCCTCTGATTTGGGGAGTAAATAATGAAAACACTGAACTCGTACCTGAAAATTTAAAAAAAAAATTCCCTTCATCCATCTCGTTCTCCTTTTCGATATCAAGCGATTAGACGACTCACCTCGAGGTGCAACACCAACAAACACATATCCGCCAAATCCGTGAATTCGTGTACGGATTGATATAGAGTCTGTATCGTCACGTCCGAAATGTGACTCTTGAAACTGTCACCCGATCCGTCCGAATTGAATTCTTTCACTTCCGTTATGATTTGTAGGATTTGACCCGCGAACCACTCCTAAAAAAACGAAAAAAATTTTCTTTTTTGCTTGCTCTTCTCTCAAGCAGTTATAAACAAAACAACGAGTCTCACCATGCTTTCGTTGAGTTGTGCGAGTTTTTTTAATTGACTAACGTTCGATAATATCTCGTGAGCTTTGATACCGGATTCGCCCATGTTGCTCGCGAGTATTTCCGCTTCTTTAACGTTTCTCTGCCTTATATCTTCTGGACTTTCTTCTTCCGTCGTTTCTTCTCTCCTGAGATTTTTACCACGTCTGTGAGTCGGTTTGTGCGTTTGAAGTTCCATCCAATTTGGAAGAGATCTAAATCGACAAATACAATTTCAACAACCCTCTCGTCGTCGTCTACATCTTCTACGATAATAACAATAAATACAAACTTTAAAAATCGACTCATGTCGTCATCTTTGAGCCACGACGCGCTCCATATTTTCTTATCCTCCGAATCCGGTTGTACTATCCCTCGGTAAACGGACTGACATATTTCACGGTAACTCCTTAAAACGTTGCAAATGATTGTTAAAAATTTATCCGCGTAAGCTGGAAGACTTTTCATCAATTCTTTTAATTCCGTCATGCATTTTTCAACGGTCACGGTGTTCTGCGAAAAGAAAATATATATATTTTAAAAATTCAAAAGGGGAGCAGCAGGAGAGGGGGGAGGGGAGGGACGTTACCATGAGAACCGGTCGTGACAAACCCATTTTCTTCGTCATATCCGGATCCGTTATTTCTTTCCACGCGTCGTGTGATTTGCTTATGTTTTCTATTTTCAACGACGCTTTGAAATGATGCTTGTGCATGAACCTGTCCCGTATGAAATCCGATAAAAAATTATTCAACATGCAGGGACTCCCGGAATTGTTGTCGATGGACTGTTCGATTTCGTCTATGAAACGACGCAATGGTATGTATATGACGGTAACGTTGTTTATGTCTCTCGGACAAACGAGTTGCTTGCTTTTCCCCTGTCAAATCAAAAATAATAATGATAATTATAAAAAATTATGATGATGATGATGATAATAATATGAAACAAACCCCGTAAGGTCCTTTCGAATGATCATCCGAATGCGAATTCGCGGTCAGGGAATGAGAAACGCAATCGAATTTGAACAAATGAACTTTTTTCTGACGCTGAGATTTTTTCTTTGAAAAATAACTGGATATGTCGACGACGGCCGGATCCGAGTACGAGGAAGGTTTTATCGAATCACCCAAAACGTTGTCGGCATCTAAATAATCAGTCAAGAGTCCCTGGAGCTAAGAAAAAGACCGAAATAGAAACAAAACACACACAAAATGGACACAAAATAGAAAGAAAGAAAAAAAAAAAAAAAAAAACTTACGACGGTTTGTATTTTGCTCCAAACGTCCGCCATTTCGTACAGTCTCACGTCCAACCTGTATTTTTCCGCCGTTTTTGTAAAATATTTCAAAACTATTTTGTGACCGTCTGCGACTTTTCGAAATTGTTCGAATATTATTTCTAAAAAATTCAATAGCAACATTTTCGATGAATTCATCTGACGATTTCCCTCGTTCGTGATGGCGATCGTTGTCACGGATTGTGACGATTCCAAAACGTTTTTCGTTGCATTCGAAACTATCGTCATCAATTCTCCGTGCATTTGAGATTTTATCGTCTAAAACCGATTAAATTTATTTTATCATCATCATCATCATCATCATCATCATTCACACTTTACTTAATGATGTGTAAAAAGAAAAAAAAATCCCCCCCCCTCACCTCGACGGCTTCTCCCAATTTTTGTAACAATCCCAAACATTCCGATATTATCCCGGAAAAATGTTCCAATTTTTCTTCTCTGTCCATGCTGTCGAGTTCGTCGGAGGGATTTTCGTGATCTTGTTCTACGGTTCCAGCCCTGGAATCGAAAAAAAAAAATTTTTTTTTTTTCATTTCTCCAGATCGTTCCACTTGAATTTCTCCTTCTTCTCCTTTTCACTCACTTCATTGACGCATCCAATAGTTTTCGTCTCGCTCTTGATCCCCTATTCGAACCCCTGAGATCTCCCGTTCGTTGAAATGGCGAAAAACATTCTTTACCACTTCCCTGTCTCCTAAATGACGACGATTCATTGTATGGAATTACGTATAAATGATGTTTTAATTCCTAACGAATCAAATTAAATTTTAAAAAAATTTACAAAACGTGAAAAACACTCTTTTCTCTCTCTCTCTCTCTCTCTCTCTTCCACGCAAACCTTACTTCCATGAGTTTCCCGTATAGAATTTGTTTTTTCGTTTGTAGTTCCGTTCTGACTTCTCTCAATGCTTCGATTCCGGCTAAATTACCATCTCCTAAAGATAATGTCGTGGTGAGTAATTGAGTTGCGTTAAGGTATTGTTTTTTAGATAAAAATATTTCTAACTGTGAAGGCACTTCTCTAACCTGATCTCTAGAAAAAAAAAAATATAATAATAATAATCATCATTCTTTCGGGAAAAGAAGCCTCTCCTTCTTCCCCCTCCCCCCCCCACCGAGGGGAATTGAAAACATTCATCGTTACTCACATTCCTTCGAGCAATTGCAACGAATGCTTGTGTTCTATTCCCTCCAACCATAATTTCTTAAGTTCGTTTCTCCGACACCTAAGTAAAGTTTTACAAAGATGAAGATTGTCTTTGACGGTTTTAATTTTTTCCCTAGAGGAAGTTATCTGCAAAAAAAATTGAAATAAGATAGTCGTCGTCGTCACGTCACGTCACGTCACGTGGTCTTCGAATTTAAATTCCCATTTAAAAAACTCACGAGCGAAGAAACTTTGACAAAGAGTTGCATGACTTGAGTCAATTCTTGATTGTGCTGCGAAACCAACTCCTCCAACCTTTTGTTACTCCTTTCGTGATCCTTTTCCAATTTATTCTTTTCCTTTTCCCTTTGCTCGTTTGTTTCGCTCGTGGACAACGTTCGTATGAGTGACATCAACAAACCACTCTGAAATTAATTATTATACAATTATCATTATTTTTAATTTTTGTTTCTTCGCACATGATTTTCAATAAAGAGGAGGAACCTAACAGGACCATCATTTAAAACCAAACCTTAACGCGACTTTGACAATTCGCAGACACGATAACAACAACAACAACAACAAACAAAAACTTATGTAAAAAAAAAAAAAAAATCATTTAAAATACTAACTGCGGAAAAGTTCTTCTGGAAACCACCATTTCTTCGTAATATCCTTTTTAAAAATATTGATAAATTTTATATTTTTCTCTCATTTTCTCACAAATCGAACGAAATCAATAACAATAATAATAATAAAACTTTTGTTTATTTACATTTAAATACAAACAGTGATAAACAACAACAATTTGTACAACTTTTGAGAAAAATTTGTTTTTTTTTTTTTTGTTTAACTTACCGGTTCCCTGTACTGTTTGACTCCTCGAGGAGGCTTCGTCGGAGTTCCCTGTTCCATTTTTTTTTTTTTTTTTTATTAATTTTATCGATTGTGATTATTTGATCGATCAAAACCTGAAAATAAAAAAATAAAAACGGATATGAGACATGATAATGTGTACGGGTGTGCGAGTGGGCGTGTGAGAGGGAGAGGGAAAAAAAGGGATTTAGAAAAGAAAAAAAAAAAAAAATGACATCACTTTAAGGGTTGATTATTCTTTTTCCATTTTTCCGGAAGGCAAATCATGACAACAATTATTATTAATTTTTTTTTTTTTTTTTTTTCGAGTAAAAAAAAAATGAACGGTGCCAGCAGTAGAAAAAAAATTTTTTTTTTTTGTTTTTTTCTTTCACAACGAAAATTATTACACCATCAAAATTAAGGGATTAACATTTTCGGTCTATGATTTTTTTTTATTTAAATTAAAATTTAATTCTTGGTTGACTAAATTCAAAAAAACAGCGAGGAACCAAATTCAAAAATTTTTTAAGAAACTAAATTCAACTTTCTTCGACAAAATGGTAAGATTTCTCCGAATTATTTTCCTCCTCCTCCTCCCCTCCCCCCTACTTGTTTTCATGTGTCACGCTGCCGTACATTGAACTCCCATCACCATCATCCCTTCACTTATGTATGCGACCGCGCGTCATTCGTTTACCCCTTCGTCAAGGAGTTTTCCTGTCGGTCATATATGACAAATTATTTTGTATATTTACTTTTGACAAGGTGCCGTTTCAAACGAGAGAATGCATTTCGATACACATCGGTCAGGCGGGTGTGCAAATGGGAAATTCTTGCTGGGAATTGTATTGTTTAGAACACGGAATTCAATTGGATGGTATCATGCCTTCGGATAAAACGATCGGATCGAGCGATAATTGTTATTCGACATTTTTTGCCGAATCCGCCAATGGAAAACAAGTACCCCGTGCCATTATGGTGGATTTGGAACCGACCGTGATAGGTAGTAGTTAACAGAATGATGAAAATTTTTATTTTGAACAACGACGGTCATTGAAATACCCGCCCCCCCTCCTTTTTTTTTGTTTTCAGACCAAGTTAGAAATGGAGTGTACAAAAAATTATACCATCCTGAACAGTTGATATCGGGTAAAGAAGATGCTGCTAATAATTATGCCAGAGGACACTACACCGTCGGAAAAGAAGTTATTGATACCGTGACTGATAGAATTAGAAAATTGACGGATCAATGCACTGGCCTCCAAGGATTTTTTGTCTTTCACAGTTTCGGTGGAGGTACCGGAAGTGGTTTCACCGCCTTATTGATGCAAAAATTAGCTGACGAATTTGGTAAAAAGAGTAAATTAGAATTTGCCATATATCCAGCCCCTCAAGTGAGTTCATACCTTTTATGAAATTAATTAATTTTTTTTAACAAAATGTTTCAAAGCGACACTTTCTTTTTTTCCTTTCTACAGGTATCGACTGCAGTAGTAGAACCTTACAATGCAATTTTAACCACTCACAACACAATCAACAATGCCGATTGCGCTTTTATGGTTGATAATGAAGCCATTTACGACATTTGTAGAAAACGACTCGGAATCGAACGACCCAGTTACGGAGATTTGAATAGATTAATTAGTCAGGTACGCACCGGGAACTTATTTCCCTCCCTCCCTCCCCCCCTTTTTTTTTTAATTGATTATAAAATTGAATAATCGAATTGTTTTATCGATTTCGATGCAGGTAGTTTCGTCTTTAACCGCTTCGCTAAGGTTCGACGGAGCATTGAATGTAGATTTGACAGAATTTCAAACCAACTTGGTTCCCTATCCGAGAATTCACTTCCCCCTTGCGACTTATGCTCCCGTTATATCCGCCGATAAAGTTTTTCACGAGGGAATGACGGTTGCGGAAATCACGGCGCAATGTTTCGATCCGGTCAATCAAATGGTCAAATGCGATCCCAGGGATGGAAAATACATCGCTTGCTGTTTGTTATACAGGGGAGACGTCGTGCCCAAAGACGTCAACGCAGCCATAGCCGCAATGAAAAAGAAAAGCGCAGTCAGATTCGTTGATTGGTGTCCCACGGGATTCAAGGTATATTTCATTCGACTCCCATCATATAATCTTATAAATCCCTTTGACATTTTATTAATTTCTTATTCTCGCGCAGGTCGGAATCAATTATCAACCGCCCACCGTCGTTCCGGGAAGTAATTTGGCGACAGTTCAAAGAGCCGTTGCAATGTTATCCAACACGACAGCCATAGTCGAAGCTTGGGGAAAATTAAATCAAAAATTCGATCTCATGTACAACAAAAGAGCTTTCATTCATTGGTTCGTGAGCGAAGGTTTGGAAGAATGTGAATTTAGCGAAGCGCGAGAAGATTTGGCAACATTAGAAAAAGATTACGAAGAACTATCGAATGATGACGATGTTATATTAAGAGCTTCACACCATAAAAGCGACGATTTATAAAAACAAACAAAGGAAAAAAGAAAAAAAAAAAAAAAAAAAAAAATCAATCTACCGGCTAAGTGTAAAAGGAACAAAAGTGTAAAAAACCAAAAGAAAAGAAAAGAAAAGAAAAGAAAAAAGAAAAAAAAAAAACCTGAGTAAACAACAGAATATAACGTTATAGGTATTTAGGATTAAAAAAAAAAAAAAAAAAAAAAACAAAAAAAAAAGTTTTAATTTTAATCAGTCTGTCTGAATCAATCAATCAATCAATCAATCCGAGGAATGGATTTAAGAAAAAAAAAAAACGTTAAAAATTAATCAATTAATTAATTAATTAACTAAATACCTGGTGCCTGTTGATAAAACAGAATTATTTACTTTCTCTCTCTCTCTCTCTCTATTTATTTTTATTTATTTACTTTATTATTCATAATGATTATCATTTAATTTATTTTCTTCTGCTAAAAACAAACAAACAAACAAACAAGCAAAAAAATAATAAACAAAAAAAAACCTAAAGAGGATCACCTTCGAAAAGGTGTGTGTGGTATTAATAATATATATATTAAAAAAAAAAAAAAATCAACAACAACATTGACAACAACAACAACAACAACAACAGCAAGCCACAAATTAAAAGGACAAATTTGAAAAAAAAAAAAAAAAAAAAAAAAATTTGAACAGTACAGTATTCAGTATATGTGTCTGATCAAAAAATTTTAAATAAAATGAATTCAAATCGTTCAATCAAAACAAACATTACAAAAAAAAAAAAAAAATAATAATAAAAATTAAAAGCGATTAAAACAAAATCACAAAATAGAGAAGAAAGAAAAAGAAAAAGCAAAGAAAACCAAAAGTAAAAAAAAAAAAAATAAATAATTTAATAATAATAACCAAAAATGATAAAAAACAAACAAACAAACAGACAAAAGGTTCAACCCACAACGACAAAATGATGATGATATACTATTGGTTGTTATAAATGTTGGCTTACACGAGCCTGCTTTTTTTTTTTTTTTTTTTTTTTTTTTTTTAATTAATTAGGGATATGAGCCGGGCTTAGGGGGGTGATTTGAAATGGACAAAGGGTGGGAAAAGGTCCAGCCTTCCAGTTTCCGTTTTTTCCAAAGGGTTTTCCGGGTTTTGTAAAAAAAAAAATTGGGTGAAAGAAGGGGTTTTTTTTTTTTTTTTTTTTTTTTTTTTTTTTATATAAAAAAAAAAAAACAAACATCATTTTGTTGAAGCAAGGTTGCATCTCAATTATTCGATAATTGATTTTTTTTTTTTTTTTTAAATTATCGGGGGAGGGAGATAAATTTCCAATCATCAAAAATATGTGTGGTGTAAAAATTTTTATTATCATTATTATTTTCTGGATTTTTTTTCTTTTCTTTTTTTTTTTAATATTCTCAAGATTTGATTAAAAAAAAAAAAAATTGTGAATTCGATGATTCCAAATTTGCAATTAATTTAAATTTTATTAATTTTTTTTTTAATAAATAAATAAATAACAGAAAACAAGATTTGTTAGACGAAACCCCATAAAACAAACAAAAACAAAAAGAAAAAAAAAAAAAAAAAAAAAAAATTTAATTAGAATTTTTTTTTTTTTTAATAAACCAAACCTGTATGATAGGTTGGGAATCGATTTAAAAGCGTGGTCAAGTTTTCATGTGCAAGTTTTTAATGTGAAATTGCAAATATGGTGTTATTTTAAAATATATATATATATATATGTATGCATATTAAATTTATTTTTTTTTTTTTTTTAAATGTGTTTATATATATATATATATATATATATATATATATATATATATATATATGTATACATATATAACTATAATTATATGTATTTTTGTTATATATTTTAATTGTTTGAAAAAAGTTTAATATTATAAAATATTTACAATAAATTTATGTGTTGTTTTTTTTTATTTTTAATCGAAACAAAAACCAATTTGATGAGATAAAGGGTAAGAAAAATGCAATTGATTGCATGGAAATGTGGTAAAATTGTAATTAATATCAATTTTACCACATTTTTTGGAATTGGAAGAAAAATTTACTTTACTTAATGTTTTACTTACTTACATGTAGTTATAAAACATCATACGCCACTGATTTTCTATAAAAAAAATATCAATTACTTAATAACGGATTAATATAATCATCATTTGACGAAAACCACTCAAATGTATAAATCATCACTAACGAAACACTTGATTAAATTTTTTTTAACTATAAAATATATATTTATATAAATAAATACTACTAAATTATTGCAAAAATAGATATATATATGTATATATTACACGGAAAATTTTATATAAATTTAATAAAGTTTAATTATTAACTACGGATTATTAACTACAAAACTAATAAGTTTAATTAATTTTTTCTTGTTTTAAACTGCCAAACCACTGTAGTCCTCCATCTTTATTTGGCAGTAGTTACCGGTATCGTCACTAGGTTTCGATAATGATTTTAATAAAAGGCTGTGATATTTTTCCCGCGCATTTTGTAAACAAACACACGCAAGATTATTTATTATTTTAACGTAATTTACAAAAAAAAAAGTCAAACGTTTTATTTATGTATATTAATATTATTGTTTTAAAATTAATATACGTACGTACATAATAAGTATTAATATTTATTATTATCAAATTATTTAAATAAAACATACAAAGTTTAAAAAAAAAAAAAAAAGTTAAAAATAGATAAGTTTTGGTTGTAAACAACATTTTATGTAAAAATAAAATCGAGATAAAATTTATTTATTTATTTATTTATATTAGTGATGTGATTATATAAAATTAAACGATCAAAATATTATTTACCCATAGGGATTGTTGATTTCTTTTCAATTTTTCATGATAAAAATAAATATTAAATTTAAAAAGAAAAAATTATTTGATAATTGATGACGTAATAAATAAATCAAATTCTATCAAAATCAAACTCATGGACAAAAAAATCATTTTGTTTAAAACAAAACAATTAAATAAATATAAAAAATTGAGAAAAAAAAAACGTTTTATCATCACATATGAAAAATATCTTAGGTCAAGTAAAATGATAACACTTATAAAAATTATTTTTAAATATAACCTTTATATTCCTTATTAAATTAATAATAATAATAATAATGTTTACAGTTTAGTATTATAAATATATAATATTACAGCATAATTAATATTGTAAAAAAAAAAAAAAAATTTGTATTTTATATAAAAACTTTTTAAAAATTTGGCTTTTTATTTTAATTTAATACACAAAAAAAATTTGGCAATATTAATCGACATATTTATATTGTAAAGGCATCAATCATATTTTATTTTGGCCGGATATTAATTAAAAATTTAAATAATAATAATAATAATAATAATATTTTCCACTCGTTTATATTATTATTTACGATATGTATATAATTACAAGCGATAATAATAAATAATTTTAAAATAAATTTTAATTTTGGATAATTAATATTGTAAAAAAAAAAAAAAATTTTTTTATCTTCTCTATGAAAAGCATCGTTAATACATATCATTATCATCATTATGCTCAAGCATTTATTTATTTATTTATTTATTTATTTCATCTACAAAAATATTTATAATTATAGTCACGTTAAATAACTATTTAATAATAATAATAATAATATGCTACAAAAGAGTTAATAAATACTTTTTTATTATTATTATTATTATTATTATTATTATCGTTTGAGTTATTATTTAATGTACACTTATTAATGTAAATTATTATTATTATGTATGTATATTGCAGAGCTATAGTTTGAATTTTAGTTTTTGTTCGGTAGAGGAAGACCGGTTTGAGTGATTGATAGTCTTCTTATGTTTGGCTTATCGTATTCTTCCATTGACATCCCTCGGGATAATCTTCTACCCTTGTTACTCCCGAGTGGACTTTCATCTTGGCTACTTTGTGACAACGTTCTCTGTCTGTCTATACCCGGCATAGTGACCGACGTGAGCCATCCTAATCCTTTGCAAAATAATAAAATGGCTTGTGCTACCTTAGCCGGCTGGAAGAAAAAAAAAATTTTTTTAAATAATTATTCGATAGAAAATAAGAGCGAATGTGGTGTGAGATGAACTCACAGCATCCAATAAAACATCTCCTGCTCTTTCTATTTTTAAAAGTGTCGCCTTATTTTTATCCGGCATTTCCTTATGAAGTTTTTCAACGACTGATGCCGTGGAATTAAGAACTCCGGTTATTAAAAGTATGTCGGTTGTACTATTTTTCAACGGCAAATCGTTACGACTGGAAATTAAAAAAAAAATTTTCTTTTAAAAATAATAATAATGATGATGATGATAATAATTCTATCGTATAAACTCACGTGAGAAAAGCGTTCACGTAAAGTTTTAAATTTTTCGAATTAATTGACGAACGTATGCGTGCTTGGAATTCTGCCATTACACGTTCTTTGTCTTTCTGATTGTCGCTCATTATTTGCTGCAAATAACAAAAAAAAAAAAAATTTTTCTTTTTAGGTAAAATAAACAAAACCGGAAGTGACAAATTATCGTTTTGCATCGAGAGGCAGGCATAACACACACAGGCGTGAGGCAAAAACTTGTATTATTATTCAATCGTTTAAAGATTGTTTTACTAAACAAATTACTTACGCCATTATGTCCGTTGAACCATTCGTGACGATGATGAGTCTGAACATGAAAGCAAAATGTTTAAAAACTATATAAAACAAAAACAAAACATGACAAACAAGCAAAAAATTAAAAAATAAATAAAAACGACAAAATCGAATTCAATGTGCTAAGCAATACATAAATAATAATTATTATTATTATTAATAACAATTTGATGCAGTGCATGACGATCAAAAAGTGCAAAGTGGATTTAATAATAATAATAATAATAGACTCACGTTTCCAAATTTGTGAAATAAAAGATAATCTTCTGCTGATTGACTTATCAAATTGTTACCTTTCCAGTTGACAAACTAATCAAAAAGAAAAGGAGATGAGTTTTAATTATTTATCGAGAGAGACAGAGAGAGAGAGAGGGGGGGGGTACGTACCTTGTTTTTAAAACTTTCCATAACGCTAGCAGCCGAACCTGTACAATTGATCAATATCATACCGACGACTCTTGTCGGATGTGCCAAACCAAATCTTGCACAAACGTTCGCACCAGCCCCTTCGCCCAAACAAATAACGTATTTAACGTGTAAGAAATTTAATACGGACACGAGATCTTCTCCTAGGGTTTGTAACGTTGGAAATTGAAACCTGAAAATCATCGAAATGAAAAATGAATGAATGGGTGCAGGTTGGGGAGGGGAGGATATTTAAATTTAATCAACTTACGAATCTGGTAATGCTTCGCCATTTTCTTCGTGTCCAGGTACGTCGACGTGTATAAATATCGATCTATCTCTTATATCTATCATGCTTGGATGATTAACGAATTCGTAAAATGATAAATCTTAAATAAATAAAATTATTAATTAATAATATTTTCAGGTACGATGAAAACGTTTATTTGTGGATTGAAAACTCACGATTGCATCCTAAATCGTGTACCGTTAAAAAAACTGCTCTCTTATCTTGTTGTGATAAATCTCCCTGCACGTAAACGTGAAGATCCCCACATTTTTCCGTACCTATGACGTAAGTCTGAAAATTAAATAAATCACAATCGATACATTCTAAGAAAATCGTCTAGTTTAACTTATTATTATTATTATTAATAATAATAAAAAAATTTCAGGTATTTATTTAGTTAGACACGCCTATTATTTTATTTATTTATTTATTAATTAATAATTAACGAAAGTAAAAAATTTTCCGCGTTTTTCTTTTATTACTTACGAGTAATAATTTGTGAAATGCTTACGTCATATTTTTATTAAACGAAAAAAGGAAAATGGAAATTTTTTATTTTACGAACCGGAAAATTTTTTTTTTTTTTGGGATTAAGGTTTAAAAAGGATTATACTTGAAAAGAAAGGGTCGATGATGATGATGATGATGAATTACGGAGGGGAGATGAAGGGATGAGGGGATGAGAGGGTGGGAAGAACAAAAACGTTACGAAAACCTTTTTTTTGTTTTTTTTTTTTTATAATAAAATATTATTCGTTGAAAATATCGAAAAACTAAAAGTAATAATAATAATAATAATAATAATAATAATCGAATATCTGAAAAAAAAGAGATGATAATAATATTAGACGGAAGGCATATCGAAAAGGTCAAAAGGTTAAGAGAAATAAAAAAAAAAAATTTTTTTTTTTTTAATTTAAAAAACGAGTCCCGAACGAACGATAAGTTTTTTTTTTTTTAGGGGGGAAAAGCAGGAGGAGGGGGGGTTAAATTCGGTAAAGAAAATCTTTGAGGAGGCCTATGGGGAAGGGAAAGAGGAAGAAGAAGGGGAAGAGAAAGGGAACCGGGGAAAAATTTCGAAAAAAAAAAAAAAAAAAAACTCGTGTCATTCTTGTGTGCGCGTGTGTGTTCATATCCGAATTCTCTCTTAATACAGGATTTTGTTTTTGTTTTTCTTGTTTTCTACTGCCACTTTCAAGGCGAAATCCATTTTTTTTTCGTGTCCCAAAGTACTTTAAACCGCGACCTATTTTTAAATAAAAGTTTGTTTTTCTATCAATTTTTTTAACCTTCGATTTAGTCATTTTCGAGGTTTTTTTTCTGTAAATCCGATTCGACTTATGGTGACACCTTAAACATCGTCAATTTAAACAAACGCTTCATGTAAAATATAACGCAATTAGTCGTTTTTCTGTCGTCGCTATTATTATTATTATTATTATTATTGTTGTTGTTTTTTTAAAAAAAATTTTAAAGGTCGTAAAAAATTATTATTATTATTATTTACTAAGATTTGAGTTTATTAAAAAAATAAAAAAAAAGAAGAAGAAAATCACTTTGAATTTAAATCAAACGCCTACTGAATTGATAATAATAATAATAATGACTGAATAATAATAATAATATTTAATCACATAAACGACGCCATTTTGTTGATTATGTATTTATTTAAAACGTTTCAAGGATTTTTAATTCGTTTGTTTTTTTTTTTTTTTTTTTTTCGTTAAATTTTAAAATTAATAAGTTATAAATCTTTCCACGTTCGTATCATTTGCTCTCATTAAATGTTTCGATTTGATTTTCTTTTTTGAAATTTCGATAATCGATTTATTATTATAAATAACTCGAATAATATCGATCGAGTTATAAAAATCGAAATTTTATTTTATTTTTTTTTTTGCTACGATTCACGAATTCGTATAACGTTTGGATTGGCGTCGCATTAACGCATGTTTTGTTTTATTACTCCTCCGTCCCTTCCCCGACTCTGTCCCCCCACCGACTGCCCCCCCCCCCCCCCAATATATTCCCTCTCCTTTTCCGACACATTAAATTCAATCAACTTCATCAATTGTTTGCTATCGATAAATTTATTTTTTATTTTTTATTAATCTTTATTATTCTTGGTAAATGAATAATTGACACGTTTAATTAAAATCAATTTTTTTTTTGAAACATGATAATAATAATAATTTTTTTTTTAAAAATGGCGTTGCCGGATGTAAAAACCAATTCGATTTCAACCCCTTAATTAACTTATAATTAATTAATTATTTATTTGTATACGGTAGTGATTGTTGTTTTTTCATATATACACGCGATCCTTTCTTTTAAATTATTTTTGCCCTTGTCCCCTCCCCCCCCCTCTCTCTCTCTCTCTCTCTATGAAAAGGAATGAATGTCGTAATCCTTGAATGTTTTTTATAAAACCTTTCGTCATGTGTGTGTGTGTTAAGAGTGCCAACAAAACAATTTACACACGCACACGCAATACCCCTCCCCACAATTTCCCCTTATTAAATGTTTTTTGTTATTATCATTCACACGGAAAATTCACACCGGAAATAATAACGAAAAAAATAAGGGTTTTATCCCGTTTCCGACCAAAACCCTTATTATCATCATCATCATTATTATTTTAATAAGATTATCTTTATTTTGTCCTAAATAAAAAAAAAAATTAAATTTTATCAGTTCACGAAATGTTTACAGGTAGTTTATAGTAAACCATCACAACAACAACGATAAGTAATTGGAAAAGTTTTTCGTGACCTTTTTCGTGTTCGTATTTAAGTTATTGTTACATTTAAAAATTATCATCATCATCATCATCATCAGATAGATGATATACATTATCACACACAAATCCTAATACGTACGTGAGAAGAGGGGGGGATAGAAGAAGGGCGGGGGAGGGGGATGAAACGTAAAAACTTTTTGTAAAACGAATAAAACTAAAACGCAAAAATTAAAAACTTTTTCTTTTATTTTTTTTTTTTTCAACCACCGATTATTAAATTATTTTTATTGATTTTATTTATTTATTTATTTATTCATTTATGTATTATTAAATAATAATAAAATGTTCTTTAATAAACTTTCGATTGATCGTGAATTTAAAAAAAAAAAAAAAAAACATTCCGTGATGTCGTTTTAAAATAAAAAATTATTAATAATCTGACATTTTAACGATACGATTATTATTATTATTATTATTATTATTATTATTATTATTATTATTATTATTATTATTATTATTATTATTATTTTTCCTTC